GCTAATAAGCAATCTTAAAACACCGCAAAGAAATATACTTAAAAAATTGTCAATAGTTTTTTCCTGCGCAGCAATTCCGTATAATTACTGATAACAAAAAGTAAGCATTTATTATCAAAATTACTTTATCTAAGTTCTGGGTGATACGATTGCATTTTGTTTGTGTTTCATGCCACGTGCCCGGCATCGCGGAGATGATCCACACAATTTGCATATATACCACTCTTGTTTGCGTGTCCCAATATCGTCGGTGATACACAAAGGGCTTGTGGGAATCCGCTTGTACTCTTGTTTAGGGTTAAGCTTGGTCTGATTCTACCCTACGAGATGCGCGCGTCCACGCGCTCTCTATTGATTCCATGACCCGAAGCGGCGAGCCAATTTGTCGAAGGGAAGCACGTTTTCCTTAGATGGAACATCTCGCCGATAAAAGATGGACTCTCGGATCCAATTTTCGCGAGCATAATCGAGGGGATCAGTCTCAAGATTCTCAAACGACATCACGTATACATTATTCAATAAAGAGATGCGTGGGACACCTTCTCTTAACGACTTTTCCAGTTTACTTTGAATTCTATTATACAAATGAATCGCATGGCGCTTTCCACCACTTAACCGTCTCAACCACATAATCGATAACTCTCTCGTTGTGTATAATCTAAAGACTCGCAGCATAATATCTAAAGACGGAATCTGTCTTTTTAAATCGAGACTATATACTTGCCCTCGAGAGATCTTAATGTACCGTTTCATTATGCAAATTTATTTAATGGCTTTCTTTACGCCTCGCGCACGCTTTCACGCGGACTTTGCATAGATCGCGATCGTCGTGAAAACGCAATATTCTGCGCGTATCCTTGGAACGGTATTTATTCGGGGCGCTATTAATAAGCGTATTCGTATGTAGGCCCCACTGGAAATACATGTCGATCCCCGCCAGTGTATTTCCATTTCTAATTCTGATCATCCCTCTCTCGCTCTCTTTTTCTCTTTCTCTCTCCCTGTTATTATTATTGTTATGTATAAAAAAGATATCTGTAATATTTTCTTTTTTTACTAACTGTTCAATAGCTATGTTTTATATTCTTAGAGTTAGAGCTTGTCCTAGAATATCAATAAACGCTTTATCTATCTATCTCTCTAATTATATCTAATTATTTCAGTTTAACTATATTACATTATATTATATTATATTTTATTAACCCTATAATAATCGAAAATATATATATATATATATATATAAAATACAACGATACAACTTTTGTATCGAGTTCTTAGTACTTGAGAAGATCTCATCTTAAAACGCATAAATAAATCAAGCTCTCCATCTCTCTTTGTAGCGAGAACATAATAAGCGCGAGTTTCCGCGTCTTGGAAACCTAGACCCGAAAGTGCATGGTGAAGTGCACCTTAATAAGAGCGACACCGGTGCGAGGCGGAATTCAGTCCAGCGAAATGAAAATTTAGATGCGCGCCGCTATCTTTAGCAGTCTCGACACAGTGACGGCAAAAGTGTTGCCACAGGCGAATATAGGTTACTGTCGTCGGAATAGATCGCGGTCAGGGCAGGCGCGTCCGTCGACACCGCGCCGATGAGAACCTTGGTACCCTTATCGGGCACCTACTTTCGTGCGAGTGCCGACCACCGTAGTGGAAGCGGTCGCGTATCGACAAGGCGAATAATTCTCATTACGATCAACAAAGCAAATATTGTTAATTTATTGCGACGGGCCGCTTACATAAAGAGCGCCCGAAAGGAAGAAGGGAAACAAGCCGCAATCACCGCGAATTTCATTCTCGACGGAAGCGCGTGGGAGACAGCCGAAAAGAGAGAGAGAGAGAGAGAGCGCACGGACGGAAAGAGCGAGAAAGAGACAGGATGAAGGGAGGGAGAGAGAGAGAGAGAAAGCGCAACAAAAAAGGGAGGAACAAAGACAGGGGAATAGACAGAGAGAGAGAACGCGCGCGGACGCGAAGGAGAGCAAGAGAGAAACAGCGAAAAGGGGGAGGAAGGGGAGAGAGAGAGAGAAAGAAAATTCCCCTCTTGCTACGGGCGCACGCGTATACGCCGCACGTTGCTTTTCCCTGTGAAAGTTCTGTCGAAAACTCCGTGCGGATCCGAACGCGGAGGTAAACCCGGAGCGAAGTCGGTATCGTCGAAAGATGCTCGGAAGGAGGCATCTGGCCGCCTCGTCTCACCTGCGCACGGTGCGCGGCAGCTGCCGCTCGGCTCCGATTATCTTCGTGCTTACGTAGACTGCCGGCACGTGTGCCAGAACAAAAAATATATTTACGGAACGGACGGAACGGCACGCTTCGCAAGCGTGGCACGGCCAAAAACTTGCGCTCGCGCGACGGCGATTAAATAATAAATTATCTCGACCCTTTAGGTCGCCTTCGATGGACGTTTATCGGAAAGATATACCTATTATTTTCGAAACGTATACGTCCTCCAATATTTCAAGCAGAACGAAGTCAAGATGACATCCAAACGGCGTCAAAATGACTATTAAAAATCATTTTCCGAGCAATCACGCGATTCATTTTAATATTATTCTAACGTTAACGTGACCCGTTGCTCTCAACTTGGAATTTTTTTATATTATATTTTTCACAAAAATTAAAACAAAATTGAGTAAAGGTTTTATTACTCGGCTTTTGTATTTATCGTAAAGATATTGAGTATGAAATTAGCAACTTTCATAAAAGTACGATTATTGAAATAATCGTATTACGATGAAATAATTATATACAATAAAATGACTACGACTGTATTCCAAAATTCACTGCCAATGTTGAAAATGTATAGCACACGTAACGTAAACTGCAGATTTTCAGTGCTGGCAGTGAATTTTGGACGACAGCCTCGTCTTGAATTGAGTGTCAAATCTCTAGGGAAATACTTATATACATACATATATTTCTTCGTGATGACCTTTTTCTTCATCGCAATAGATACTTGTCAGACAGTAAATATAAGGTCCAAAATCGAAACGTAAGACATGTGTCGATCGCTTTATGTTTTCGACTTTACGTCGTCTGGATACTTATCGAAGAAAGCGGAAGCCTAGGGACGTGGACGGAACCTGTTCCTAAAAAGAGATCGGTCCGCTCGAGAGGGCAACCGATTTCTCCGGCGAGCGGCGAAAAAATGTTGCCACGAGGGGAAATCTCGCGTTTTATCGAGTGCCCGAAAAGCAACCTGTAACATGGACGCGAAGGCGGTGAGCAGCGATGCGCCGCTCATCGCGCACCTTTCCCGTACACCGGAAGCGCTGCCATACCGCGAAACTTCTAGAACTTTCCCAAGAATACGGACGTATACGCGATCATCGAGGACGTGGCGACCTTTTCTCCTCGTCGACCGGAGCGAAACAACGAGTCACGACCTAATCGATATCGGCGAGTCATTCTCAATGTGACATAAAGTCGGATGTTTTTGCACGAGGCGAAACACGATCCGTTTGGTGTAAAATAAATACCGACCGACGCGCGACCGGAAGCGCGCGCGTATTTTTTCGACGTAAGGTGGGATCTAATTGGACGAGCCGTAAGGTGGGAAGAGAAGACCGTCCGGAGTGGGGGAAGAGGGGCAACAAGGAGAGTGGGGAGATCGTCGAGACATCGAGATGATGTCGCTGCCATCGCCCGAGCTTCGTGCCGCGAATAATCGAATGGCTGCGTTTGCGATGTTCGTATTCCTCTTATTTTCTCGCTCTCTTTCGATCGCTTTCGTTGGCGTGGGTAGCAATTGAACGCGTTTCCGTCGATGCTTTCGCGATCTCTCTCCGTGATGTCTAATGTACTTGGAAGCCTCACTGGCTCTACTCACCTCCGCCGATTGCAAAAGCACTCGAGAACCAGAGATCTCGACGGTTTCACGATAATTCTGATATATTCCAAAAATGCCTGCGTTAACAGGATTGACATGCCTGATGCGAACGATAATTTTGTAGATATCGCACACGAAAGAGAATCGCGTAATGTGTGGCGGTAAAGACCGAGGCACCTTGAATAAGACATGAGCAACACAGAATAAATATAACGGTTTATCCGCAATAAACGTATTGATGTGTAGGAATGAGAAATGGGATCGATATACCTTCATTTACAAGTTGATTTAATTTACGATATTGTGAATGCGGAATAATACATCTTGTTACCGTTGACATTTTTTATCTTTATAGATAGAAAAGAAATTAATTCTCTATTCGTTAACAAATACATTGTACTTGGCGTACAGAACAAATGAACACATTACATTATTAATTCGTTATTTAAATTTAATTATTCCATTAAGTATTCAATATTTAATCAAATTAAAATTGTATTTGTTTTTTTTAATTGATAATTATATTTAAACTGTACAAAGTATATGGATAGATATTACATATTTTATATATTCTTTTTTATCACGTAAATTCTACTCTATTAGATATAAAATATTTGTACATCAATACATAAAAGTGTATTGATGCGACATTGTATGTCATAAACATTAAATCTTACTTTACTGTATTTTTTTTGTTAGAATTATATTTGAACTATTTTTTTTGTCACATAAATTTGATTTTGCTAAGGTATAAAATATTTAATAAAAATATAATGCGACATAATACGTTATAAGCATTAAATATTATTTTGTTACATTTATTTAATAATTAATAAGAATATTTGAACTACAAAGCAGATTGGACATTACGTCATTTATTCATTCCTTTTGTCACGTAAATACGCGATTCCGTCGGATATAAAATATTTAATATTAAAAATATAGTGGTGCGACGACATCGCGTGTCACGAGCATTAAATATTACTTTCCCAGTTGTTTCTAATATTTCATTTCCCATTATTCATTCGAACGACTCGTTTTCCCCTTGTAGGACTCGTGCGCGGCGCGCGCGCGCGGGTGTCGTCGACGGCGAGGGGCGCGCCATCTGTAAACGAGCGGGAAAGAAAAGCGTTTGAAGGCCGCCGGCCCGCCGGCCGGGCCGGAGTCGCTCGAGTCTCGAACGAATCAGTGCGCGTTTCACTCTGCCATTTGCGCGTCGGTACGCGGCAGCGGTGTTACCGGAATCTCCGACGTGTGCTTACCGGTGCGTAGAAGACGCGTAACCGTCGCGTTGGTTGAGGTGTGCTTTCACGAGTTCGTGTGCGGAAACGTGCGTGGATTACGATCAAAATCGATCGATATGGCGGACACGGAGGTCAAGTAAGTAATATATATGCGTCCGCCGGTGCGTAAATACACGGCAAGCGACGGATATCGATTCGACGTAAGAAAAATCGCGCGTACGGCGTCGGTTCCCTCCTCTCGATGCGCGCCAAGCCGTTCGTTCCCGCCGATCGCGCGATCTTCCCCCCCGCGTTCTCGTCGGATTACTCTCGTCGCCGACGTCGATGTCGTCGTCGTCGTTTCCTCATCGCCCTTGTTCGATCGCTTTCGAATTATCGTAAAGACGACCGACGACGACGAGAAAGGTTGTCGAGCACGAGGAGAGAGGAGGGGGACGTGCGGTGCACGCCGGGAAGGGGGAGGGGGAAAAGAACGAATAAGCGAGCGATGCCCCTCTCTTTCTCTCTCTATCTATCTCGCGCTCGCGACAATATCCTCTCAGGCCGATTCGCGGTACGCCTAACGATCGCTGGAAATTACCTGCCCTTGCCGCGCGCGCGACGCGACCCGAGTCGACCCGACCCGACGCGTGCTCTACTTGCGGGCGGGTTTTATGGCGGGCATCGTCTCGTCCCGCGCCGTATCCTCTCTCTCTCTCTGTTTCTCCTTTCTACTCCTCGTGCCCCTCCGCGACCGTCCGCCCGCGCACGATCGAAGACGAGCGCATCGTCGCCGATCGGCGGCGATGGCGGCGGTGGCAGCAGCGGCCTCGTGTTCCTTTTGTCCCTCGCGCTCCGCTCCAACCACTTCGCTCGTTTGTTTACGTCGTCTATGTAGATGTGCGTGCATGCGCGCGCGTGCGTGTCATACATTGTACACACACAAACACACGCGCAACGCACGCGTCGTTTTTCGCGGGAACCACCCTCGCCACGCTCGAGAAAGACAGAACGAATACATTGCGAGGACGATCCTTTCCGGCCTCGATTCTCTTGTCACGTGACTTTCTCCCTCGCTCTCCTCGAGAGAAATCGTCGGTCCTTCTTCGTCTCGCGCATCGGCCCGAAAGCGGTCGACGACGTGTATCGATCTGCCGGTTCGCGTCGATTAGACGTAGCCGACGATGATGATGACGATGAATAGCGGTGATTTCACCGGCGCGAATTGTTTCCCGTCGGGAATACTTCGTAAAGCGAAACCGGTATAATCTCCAACGAGACTCCCGGCTTGATAGACGCGCGAAGGAGAGACGTCCGTCTATATTTATCCTTCGATCGGTTTTTCAATTATACCGGTTTCGATCCCCCGTCGCTCTCAAGACGAAGAGTGGTTACGAATATAACGGCATATCGTTCGCGTTCCCCTTGCACGCGTGAGATACGATGTCGAAAGCGTATAAGAGGATGCGTGTGTATCGCGGCGTTACGTATTACACGCCGCGTTTACGACCGCGAGCGTCCAACGATTCGCCACGCTGAAACCTCGTCAGTGTGGGTGATCGTGGCGAGCATCGCGATGGTGGTAGTAATTGCGATGTTGGCGGTCGCGGCGGTCGGCGACGTCAGGGGGCGATCCTTGATGGCTGGGAGGTCGGAGCGGTGTTGCGGGGACGATGTAATATTAAGCTCACTAGATGCCGCCACTGTTGGCGGCGTCCTATCTCTATTTCTCTCGGTTCGTCGCGTCGTCCTTGTTGCTAGTCAGCAATGTGAAACGGCAGCAAATACCGAAGCCGAAGCGCGCCAGCAACGGCTTGCCGGGAAATGTATAATCGCGCGAATTCGTGGTTTTTATCGCGGTTCCGTTATAGCTCTTGCATTAATATTACGATATCGCTTTCGTTAAGATTGATCTTATTGCGCACTTTTGAATTAACTTGTTTATCAGTAACTTATTTATTATGGATTTTTGCTTGTATAATCATTTATTATTTATGTGCTGTAAATCATATTGCAATCATAATTTAAATAAAAAATGAGATGTTTTTAATAATCATTTAATTATTCTATAAAGTTATCTTGATTGTGAATTGAATACTTTCATAATCAATGTTCGATTTACAAAACAAAAATTTAGTTACGCGCATAATCTATATTGTATATAGATAGATAGATTTCGTTATTATACTATATAGGACTCCAAAAATAGCATTCTTTCAAATGCTAAAACTAAAATATACTTGATAAAACGAAATTTGATATAAGAAATAGAAACGAAAGGGGTACGAAAAATATCAGTGAAAAAATAATAAAATTTAATATTAAATGAAGCAGAGAGCACCACAAATTTTTAATACATTACGTTAGTATAATGTGATAGAATACTATATCTACATTATGATTTTCAGGGAAACAAAAGTCACTACTCCTCAGAAGAAGGTAGTGGAAGAGGAGAAGGTGGTGCAGGAGGAAATTGACGAGGATTCGAAAGCGTCTGAAAATGGGGATACAAAGGAAACCAAAGAGAATGGCTCGAGCGAAGAGAAGGAGACTGATGAGAAAGAAGCAGAATCTACAGAAAACGGAGACTCGACAGGTTATTATGTTATTATTGAAAGATTTTTGTCATATCTGCGTTTAGAAAAAAAGATCTATAGTATATATAATATATAATTTTTCTGCTTTTAGATGCTCCAGCCGCCGACAGTTGCTGCGTAAAGAGGAAATCAACGGCCGGAGCCGATGCAGCAGAGGATGCACAGGACGGTGCGAGTCCCGAAAAGAAGTCAAGACTCGAGGAGAAGTGCTCCGAAGCCGAGAATAACGGCGACGCGGAGGAGGCCACGGCCTAATATTCTCTCATGTTTATTATTGACAGACAGACCTAATCTATAGATGCAATTTTAACTACCGAGTGTGAAGCCAGGGCAGATCGTCTGTGCATTTTCAGAGAGAAGATGGCGAGCATAAAAGAAAAAAAAAGAAGAAAAAATCCAGAAAAACATTTTGACGTTTATTGCAATTAAGAACTTTCTGTGTTCAGGATGATTGTGTGTGTCTCCCATAGTATTTCTTGCAATTGTTAATTGGCAATAGCGACACAAATCCGATATTTTTGGAAAAAATATCGTAATTATTACATTTTAATGTAAAGCATAAACAAACGGTGTTCTCTGTACTGGCATCCACGTGCATACATATTATATATTCACTTAGCGTTAGAATTTTAAGATAAGGAAATATACCGATAATGTTAGAAATAATATATTTCTAATTCATCAAAACAAAACGACGGTGCGGTGTCTGGAAAAGGGGTACATTTGTGCAACATAATATTTCCACCTACTTGCTAGTCCTCATTGTTTCCGACGCACGGACACACATTGTATCTTATACCTATAGACGACACATACACACCTTGGACTATACATCGGAGATAGAATACGGATATTTTTCTGCGAATCAAAATACATTCCCGAAAATAGATTGACTTGTAACGTTATTATGACTGTTCGCCGACGAAAAACTTAAGAGAGCGCCATTTCTACAGCTAACTTTGAACATGCGTGTTTCACAATATTTTATTTATATAAACTAATTTTTGAAAAAAAAAAGCTTATCTAGATAAATTTTTTTTATTTGGATAAATTGATTACGTTAACTCTTACTAATAATACTTAGTATGTGTTTATGAGTAAATCTTATTCCTTTTTTTTTTCAAGAGACAAAGAACGTTTTTGAAAAGAGTTCAAATCCAAACGTGTTAAGTTGAAACTTTTTAAAAAGTAAAAGAAAATATTTCTTTTTATTATATATATATAATTTACTTTACATCCGTTCTCACATGTACCTATGTATGTATAAAACCGCTGAGTGAAAAAAGATTTGTTTTGAATTTTGCTAATAATGTATAAAACAAGTATATTAATGGCAGTCATTCAATAATTAGAAACTGCAATTGGACACAAAGCCAAACTATTGCGATTAAAATTAATTTCGTTTGATGTAATTAATCCAAATTAATTACTAATTTGCATGTTATTCAAAACTTTTAAATAATTGTCAGATGTAAGTCATCGTTTCTCTTAGTTTGTAATGCGTTAGCTTCAAAAATCGCCACTATCTTATATTTCGGTGACAATATGACAATAGTTCTTATAATTTTCAATGTCATTTTTGCTTCATATGTAATAAATATAACTGTCCATCAGTGAGGGTAATAACATGTATGTTTAAGATTTAAAAATGGTAAAATGTGTTCAACAGCTAATACAAATAAAGATGGTTCTCTATATTTTTTCTTAGTTAATGAACTGTAGCCTAAGTCAATTCTTAGCCTCCTGAAAAAGTCTGTAACTATGCGAACTTCAGTTTTCTCTTGGTTTCGTTACAATTGCAATTTTTATAGGAAAAGGTGATAAAGCTTCTTACTGAATCTCTATTTATGGAGGAAATTTGAGTTTAAGCTTATTTCTGTTTTTCAAGGAATGATGTAATGCCGTAATATTCCTAATTACCGTAAGATTGAATTTTATGATTCAAGGACTTTATTTCTATAGTTTCCGAAAAATTTTAATGTTATTTACACACATATATAGAATAGCAATTACAAGAATTGAATATGGATTTAGTTTAACCGAAGTTTTTATATCGATTCTTTATATTAGCATTGCAAAATTCCTCACAAACAATATTAGCATATTAGCATATATTTTTTTAAGCATGCTAAAGATAGTAAAGATTCAAAGATATAAAATAGAAATTGTTTTATAGTTATATATATTGTTAAACGCGTGTAACTCATTCCTCTCTTTCAAACACTTTAAATATTTATTGTTAATAAAATTATATCAAAAATCTTTACGATTAATATTATAACATGAGAAATATTTTAAACAAAGAATAGAACTTATATCCAACAAGCAAAATGTTAGTAGTATATGCTATTAGTTTGTCAGCAGAAATTGATCAGAATCTGTCATTTCATAATCATTTAAACTGTTACGAAATAACAGCTAGTTTCTGTTCAGTTTCTGTAGTCTACCATTATATTTCTATTAATAGATTCATTGTTTCCGCGAACAAAATGTAAATTGTAGCGAACAGTTTACAAAGCCTATTTTTTACAAACTTCATTGTTCGAAATAATTGCAATTTTCTATCATTATTAAAAGTCGATAGAACAAAAATTACAGATACACTTCTCGAAATAATTGTGGGCAAATCCATACTTTTTTCTATTATAGTAAAAAATATACAAAAATTATATCATAATTATGTTGGTAATCGGCAATATTATCTTCAATAAATTATACATAGCAGTTTTTCTTAAAGAATTTAAAATAAAAAATTAAAACTGCGTTGCACTAACTGATTATAAGGTACATGTCATATTTTTATCTATTAAATTTTTTAGAACTAAATATACATAATCCAACTATATACAAATATTCTAGCAAACAGAGGATAGGCAAAAAAATATTGCTGAAACATATTATTTCTTCGAGACGAAAAACCAGAAAAAACCAAGACATTAGGTCTGCAGTGTATTGTAGTCGAGTGTAGATGGTGTAGATCATGTAGAACTTGTGCAGTATCTTACCAAAGTAAGATAAAAGTATCTAAACTATATATAATCTATGGTTAAAACCTGAGCCAACATGAGTACGCTTAGTGTTTAGTGACGTTTAGGTTTAGTAAATTAAGAATGTTAAGAATTCATAACATTACATAAATGGAGCTTCACCTTTTTTCGAAGAGAATTGGATTTATGACATAACAACTAAATGTTACGTGAAAAGTGATGTATAAAAATTCATCTCACTTATAAGATGGCTGCTTGGATCAACATAACTTCGAAGTATATCCATTAAAATATTGTAAACATTATTAGCACGCGTACTTTTATAGTTAATAGCAATATAAAAGATAATGCCAATAAAGCAAACTTACAAGGGCTCTGAAAATGATTCTATTTTTGTTATTTTCATGCTGTGCTGCATATTTGCATAGCACCTCAGTGACAACTTCTTAATTTTCTTGATAAATTAATCATAAATTATCAGTAACATGCAAATTTATCTGTATTATTGTTTTAACAGATTGGAGCAAGGTTTGAAGATAGTGGCTCGAGTGGATAATAGCAAATTCCGGCTTCTTGTTAACCGCATATGCCAGACCCTGCAGTCGAGCATTGACACGAAGGTGTTCAATGAAGAGGAAGAGGAAAAGCTGCTAGTTTCCTTAGATCTGACAAAGGATGAATTAGCTCTTCTGCTGGATACTATTACATCTATCTACACGCAGGCTGCATGTAGCGTTGTCAAACCATCTGTCATGGAAGCAGTCATAAAAGATAATTTTAAATTAGACGAAGAGAAAATGTCAATCTTTACAAATGCCTGGATGACTTATGGAAAGGGCATTGTAGAGAATCTAAGGCAACAATCTATTTTTCCTACTCAGGTATTTCAATATGGATCAAAAAAAGTATTTGACGAATTATATGATTAGCATGTATTGATCATGGGACGATTGAGAAAGGAATAAAGAACATTTCTATATCGATTGAAAAATAATATCCTTTTTGGGAGATATTGTTTATCATGATGAATATCATTACAAATCTTTGTGTTTAAAATAAGATGTTCATCTTAGAAAGTAGGAAATTTGAATTTTGACTGGAGAGATATTTTTCTATAAATAATTTCCTTGTAATTTTATAAAATACATTAATATCAATAATATTAAAATGTACATCAATTTAATGTAAAATTATATTTCTATTTTTGGTACAAGAATATTTGAAGACCAAATAATAATCGGCCCATAATTCAAAAGCAAAAACACAAAATGTATAATATTCATAAAAAATTAATATTATACATAAAATATTATTTAATGGCTAAAAATATCAATCTTTTTTATTCTGTGTTATATATATCTCTTGTAATTTATATTTATTAAACTACATTTCTCTTTTATTTAACAAGGTGAAAGATATCAACTGGTGCCTAAATGTGCAATCATCATCCTCTGCAATTTCCAAAGATGCACGACCTGTAGCATTGCTTCAATTAGGTCTGACTGGTGATAAGACATCTACGTTAACAATGGAGTTTGACAAGAAGCAATTAACAGAGCTTTATTATAATTTAGAAAAAATTCAAACTCAGCTAGATGCTCTTAAGTAACATAATGTAGATATTTATATACTACGCTTGTATACTATAAGTAATCAATAAGTGTAATTTATTATGTAAAAATATATTTTGCAACATGCTTTTTTATATGTTTATTTGATCATCACAAGCGCGTGCTACTGTTATTTTATATTATTTTCGCAGTTATTTTCTAACACATTGTATATTTTTTAATAAATTACAGTGAAAAATGATTTTACATTTATTTGCATATCTATGCAGGCGTCTGCTTTTTAAAAACAAATTTAATATTGGTCTTTATCGTGCAATGAAGTTAAATCTTTGGTAAATTATTTTTGTATGATAAAGTATCAAAATATAGCTTCTAGATAAATATGTATTTTTATTTTCTCGACAAATGTTTATGAAAATATAATCATACTTTTATGAAAAATAATCATATCTTTATGAAAATATAATTATACCTTTATGAAATGAGTTTAAAATAATTATTACTGTTATGTTTCAATCAAGTCTCAATTTCATAACTTATTTCTTATCAGGTCACTTTATAATTTAATATAATAATATTCCATTTTATTTTAATATTCTATAAATTTTTAATTTTCATTTTTGCTACATTTTTGTTACAAAAACTTTATTCATCTTGTTTATTAAAAAAAATTAAGATTTTTAATGCTTGATTAACCTTACTACTTTTCACATGCTTGTCAATATTAGAATATTAAGATCAATCTAAGATGCCTATGAGCATCAATGTAATTAAATTGTTTAATTGTCAATTTAATTTATAATACTACTCTAATTCTGTTAGAATTGTGTATCGAGATTGAAAATAAATTCAGCGCGCAGTTTGAAGGATTGAATATGAGTATATAAATTTTCACACAGGATTATTTCAGCTTAACTAAAGATCTAGCTTGACTATGTAATTACTTGAATATGTAATTACGTCATTATATATAAATGAATTTGATAGTAATAAATATTTACTTATAAAAAATATACATTGAGAGAAAATTGTGCTATTGCTGATTTGTACACAATCTCGTTTTTGTGGTATTTTTATGGCTACCAATATTATTGTTTATGATGAAAACGATCGTAAACTGCCGCGTTTTGCTGGTAACACATGCGTGATGAGACAAAGAGAATGTCTGTGTGCTTTGTGTTCTGTCGCAATCCTACCATTCGCTGGCATCACTTCTATAGGAAGAGGTCAATTATGTCTACACTCTACAGTTATGATCGCGCCTTTTCTCTTTGAAGATAACATCAAACTGATTGAAAAATTAATAAAATTCTTTCGTCTATTAATACTTAAACTATTAGTAAATTTGTGTAATGTTCTCTCAACATGCGAATTATCAAAAAATATTATTATAGCCATTTGCGATATTTTTTTATCAACAGACATACTTATTGACACAAATTCAAAAAGGATATATAAT